CCTCCTGGCACAGGACCACTTATCCTCCCACCCCACCACAGAGCAGAATGACGGATGGTCACAAAAGGCAGCAAAACAGGACTCACTCTGGGCCCCACGGTGAGAGAGGAACAAATCTGGAGCAGGCAGAGGCAGCCATTCCAGCCAGCCAGGAACAGGGAACCCCAGAGAAAGGGCTCCAGGGGCTGTTGGGTGGGAGGGCTGAGAGTCCTGCTTTTCTGTGGCATCTTTGATTTCAATTATTCTTTCTCATCTCTATGAACATCCTTATACTTTTCACATCGTATGGCCCCGTGCAGGGTTAGGAAAACATACTCAAAACCAAGTTCTCACATCATAGATCAAGAGAAGCATGACTAAGAGTCAGTGAACGAGCGGACTGGCCTTAAAATAAAGCCTAGGGCCAGCCCGGTGGCGCAGCGGTTAAGTGTGCACGCTCCGCTTCGGTGGCCCGGGGTTCGCCGCTTCGGATCCCTGGCGTGCACCAACGCACCACTTGTCAAGCCATGCTGTGGCGGTTTCCCATAAAAAGTAGAGGAAGATGGGCATGGATGTTAGCCCAGGGCCAATCTTCCTCAGCAAAAAGAGGAGGATTGGCATCGGATGTTAGCTCAGGGCTAGTCTTCCTCATAAATAAATAAATAAATAAATAAATAAAGCCTAAAGTCAAAACCACAATGAGATACCATGTCACACCCCCAGGGACAGCTGTAATCAAAATGATGGACAATAACAAGTGTTGGCAAGGATGTGGAGAAAAATAGAGCCTTCATACAATGCTGGTGGGAATGAAAAAAATGGTAACACTGCTGCTGGGAATGAAAAACGGTACAGCCATTGTGGAAAACAGTTTGGCAGTTCCTCAAAAAGTTGAAGATACAGTTACCATATGACCCAGCAATTCGACTCCTGGATATATACCCAAGAGAAATGAAAACATACCACACAAAAACTTGTCTATGAATGAACATTATTCATTCACAATACCCAAAAAGTGGACACAACCCAAATGACATCAACCGACCAATGGATAAGTAAAATGTAATACATCCATATAACATAATATTATTAACCCATAAAAAGGAATGAAGTACCTTTTTATGATACGAGCTACAACATGCATGAGCCTTGAAAACATCATGCTAAGCCAAAGACGCCAGACACAAAAGGCCATATATTGTACGAGTCCGTTTACCTGAAATGTCCAGAATAAGCAAATCCATAGAGACAGAAAGTAGATAAGTGTTTGGCATGGGCTGGGGAATGGGGAGTAGCTGCTAAGTGGTATGGAGTTTCTTTTCAGGGTGGTAAGAAGGTTCTGAAATTAGATAGTAGTAGTGGTTGCACAATTCTGTGAATATACTAAAAATCACTGAATTGTACACTTTAAAAGAGTGAATTTTATGGTATATAAATATATAAATTTTTAAAGAGTCAATATAGTTTGTATAAGCCAACACGCACATGCATACATACATACATAATAAATGAATGAATAAAGCCTCGACTGATAAGACTCTATTACTCAGCATCTCTTCTTGATGAAATTCCTAAGAACAAGCAAGAATAGGCTGTTTTTTGCAAACTGCCTTAAAGACAAAGAGAATGAGGGAAAGAAAAGGCTAAGCCAATACGTAAAGAGGGAAAATAATTAGGAAATAACATTTCCTGGCACAATCATGGATGGAAAACCTATCGGTCACTAGAGGCCACCTTTAACTGGCAAGGAGACAATGGAAATAGGGGATTTATGTCAGACAAACAGAAATGCTGCGCAGAACGTGGCTTCTGGATCATCTGACTCGCTCAGAACTAAGACATAAAAGTCAAATGTCCATTTACACAAGCCAAAGAAACCAGAAAATATAGTTGAGTAAGAACTTTCCATCCTCCTACATAGGAGAACCTGTTTGTTTTTTATTTACCAGCTTTTCCAGTCCGTCTTTCATTAAGAGGCCTTGCCATTTAGCGAAAACCTACATTTCACCACAAAGAGGGATGATAACACCTTCTTCAGCTATTCTCTGGAAAGCAAGCTTCTTCTCAGAGACGAGTTACTGCATAATGGAAAAGCTTTTCTTTGCATCACTGGCACTCACTGTAGGCAGCGAGCTGAAATGCACACAAGCAGCACTAGTACGGATATGAACGTGCATCACGGGAGAAAGGGCACAGAAGTGGCCTCAGTCCTGCCCCCTCCATCAGGCCACCCTCTGAGCCTTAGCTTCCCCGCTGCAAAATGAGGAGACTGCAATAAACAATCTCAGTCCTAGATACAGCCCCCACCTGGAGCCCAGGTGTGGGGCTACCATCCACCCCCCAGTAATAAAGATTTTGGTGTTGAAGCTTTACCTACCCTTCAAGCTGACCTTTATTTAAAAGCACCTTTTTCTATAATATACGGAGAGAAAATGATCCGCCCACTAAGAAGAATATAAAATTCAGCAAAGCGAATCTTCCTTTTCCAAATTAAGATGGAAACTATGTTTTCATGGAGGTGGGGCGGAGAACTCTCCAGTACACAGAACTGAATGCCTTCAACAAGAAAAGAAATTCAGATGATAGTGAGGACAGGCCTCTGTAACGTTAAAAAAAAAAAAAAAGCCAGAGCTATGCTGACCATTTTAATTGATTCTTGATGGAAGAAGAATAAGAAAAAAGATGTATGATGAGATGAGAGGGCTGCTGAAGTCAGTCACCAAAAATAAATTCACCCCTTCAAATATCCCAGTTCCCAGGTGTCATGATCAAAAGTGCCGGGAGCAAAACTGGGCTGAAGGGCCTACGCCCTGCAACCAGGCCTGTCACACCCACCATCTCACTGAATCCTTACACCAGCCCTATTAGGCAAGAAAGGCCGATCCAGGCCTTTCTGACAATTGACAAAACCAAGACAGAGACGTGGGGCAACTTGCCTGAGCTAACAAGCAGCAGAGTGGAGACCAGAATTAAGGTCTCCTGATTCCCAGCTCTGTGAAGATGTGTCGTCAAGAACTTTAGGCCTCAAATTCTTTCCATTATACCTCATGCTGCTCCTTGGATTATCCCCACACAGGAAAAAACAATGCGCAGAACAGCAATCCGAACTCTGAGAAATTGTTTGATTTTCCTCCCTGTCCCTGCTCCTCCTCAAAAAATGCCATCTGCCTGAGGTGTTTCCCAACCAGACTTGTGAAGAGCTGAGTCTAATGAACTTGTAGGGGCCATGACAAAGCGATTCAGAGAAATGAGGAAAGATGAGAGCCAGGCAAGGGCAAGAAGACCTTTGAAGCAGCTTGCGTGATGGAACTCAGCACAATCTGGCCTGCACGGAAAAGGGCTCCTGGGCCTCCCAGAAAAGGGATTAAGTTCAGTTGATGAATGCATGGCATCATTACTCCTGCCCATTGCTCTCCAAAGCCTCCCTGGGATGCAGGGGGAAATCTAGGTCATCAACCCAGTGCTTCTGTTGGGAGACCAGAGATGCTCAACACACTACCATCTTGGTGAGCATCTGCCCCCACTGGGCACAGCCTCCTGTTTAGTGAGAGATGTTCGCTATCTGGTCACTTTCTCCCTTATATGACAGAAAAAATACTTTTAAATAAGAGTTGGATCAATGGGCAAGATAAAGCTTGAACACCAAAATCTTTCTGTGTCTTGGGAATGGTTATTAGCCCAACGCCTGATCACAAACTCCAGGCGGGGGCTGCATCTGGGATGTTTGTGAAGCACCTGGCACATGCTAGGCACAGAACAGCATTCATGAGGACGCTTTTTCATTGTTAAAAAGCACATAGTACTCCTTTATTCTGTGATCTGTGAGTGCCATGCCCAGAAGCTGGGATCAGAATCCCAGCCCTAACACTTGCAAGCTCCGTGGCTTCTCTGGGTTTCCCATTACCTCATTTATGGCATGAGGATAAGCCCACCTATCGTCAAGGTTGACATAAGGATTAGAAATGGTGTGTACAGGGCTTGTGTGGCACAGAGCCCCAACAAATGGTATCAATTATCTGCTCCCTCCAAATTACCATCTCGTGTGCAAAGGACAGTGTCATGCAGCTCCTCCCTATGACTCCTTGCAGGTCAGTGGAGGGGTCCAGAAAACAGCCACTGGGTCACTCCCTTTCAGAGCTCATCAGAGGAAAAGAGAATTCAATGCAAGCCCTTTAGAGGAAGAGCGATGGACATCTAAATTTACCTGAGTCAGCCCTGGTTTACGTTGTTGTCCTGGGGTAATAATTAGTAGCACTCCCTTTCACTCTCAAAAGTGCATCCATTTGGACAATGACTTAAATGCCCACCCTACTCATAGGGCTGAAGCTCCCATCTACTTGTGTCAAATAACACTTAAAGCACACCGCCAATACTGGGCCCGAGTTGTGACACTCGGTCGGGTTTGCATTTAAAACTCTGAAGCAAAAACTGCATTTCCTCCAAAATACTAAGTCCACCCCCTTCTACTGGTCTCAGACTGCCCCCAAAATATCTATCAACCCCTTAGGGCATAGTTTTCTAACTAAACTCTCTTCTTGCTTTACTATGAATCTGTCCTGCCTGCTTTTTTATCCCCCATGATTTATGTAGCTAATAAACTAAGGCAAAAAATAAAAAATAACAATCATAAAAACTCCCAGCTGAAGGAAAGGAGCATGAGATGTGCATGTCTAAGAAAAAGCAGCTGTTTGTCTCTGTCAGAACTGACCAATCACGGGTCAAGGACCAGCGCTTTCACCTCTGAGGGGTCCAAGGCAGTCCCTTCATTTGATGCCTGACAGAGGAATGAGTCACTCACCACACCCGCCCACCCGCCCGGGGGGAGAGCTCTGCGTGCTGCCAGGACTCGCAGGCCACACTTCTCTGAATGTTAGGCTCCATATGACTAAATGCTTCCTTAGTCGAAACACCCACTGGGGAAGAATTTGTCACTAACGCTGCCAAAGGAATGACCCCAGGCCGTGCACTGGAAGCTCGTGGAGCTGCAGGGCTGCCGGAAGGGGAATGTGGGGGCAGGTTAGCCAGGAATGCAAACTGCCTATGGAGGCTGCAATGAACCCGTAAAGAATCCACGACAGAAACGAGGGGTCCGGGCGTTCCACAGCACGGTAACGACCAATTATAAAGTTGGCCTCATGTGAATTCCTTTTTTGGCTGAAAATTCAAATCTAGAAAGAGTTATTGACTTGAGGAGCTGTTTCCTGGTGACATTGTTTTGCATCTGTGGGCCAGGGTGTGTTGTCAAGAAATTTAGGGCCCAAATTCCCTTGCAATTATTTAGAGGGGAAAAAAAAAGTGAAAAGTAAAAAAATTTTTTTGTTATAAGAAGCCATTTTAAAGGGCTTGTTATACATAGCTGTTTTTCCTGCTATGGTCGAAACACAAACTCTTTTACATGGGCTTGAAGATGAAACAAGACCCGAACTCTCTTCCTGACCTCACCAAGTGGCAGTAAAGAGAGACAAACCATCTGGAGTCAGCCGGCACGTGACTGTATCCTTAGGTCAGGAGACCAACAGCTGATCAATAGATAGATAGATAGATAGATAGATAGATAGATATAGATAGATATATTTTTAAATATATAACAGATAGATAATAGATTAGATAGACTAGATAGATATAGATGATGCTACATTAGATAGATAATTGAGAGATAAATAGATAATAGATAGATAGAAATTGATTGATTGATTCACACATGTACCAAAAGTGTCACAATAATCATTTTTAAATAGTATGGCACAAACACTCTCACTTACTTTTCACATAACCCTAAGAAATAGTAATCTATTGTCTCCATTTTATAGATGTGGAAATTGCCATCTAAAAATATATCAGATGATTGCACTCAAACAGAAAGTATTAGAAAGGGGAGTTAAACTTAGATCTTCCGATTCTTGGAGCTCTCCCATCCCTGTCTTGTGGGGTTACTTGCAATCTCGTCCTCTGAAACATGGTCCAGTGAATATCACCCAGCTGGGAGAGGGAGGCTGGGACAGAAGACCTGAATGGTTGCCTTAAGAGTCTATGATTCTCTGTTATTACCAGGTTGTTTTGATTTTTCCCTTACAGGCTCCCCACAAAGAAGGATTCCAGTTCTGACCTATCATTAGAGGGAGATTAGGTCATAAACACTATTGATTCAACCTAAAGACAGTAGGGTTTTCTCAGAGAAACCAGCACAGCAGGTGGCCCACAGGGCTGGGGACAGCAGTCCACATTCCAGCTCCACTCTGCCTCAGCACTCCCTCTCAAGCCACCACCGGCCCTATTCCTGCTCCTCGCCTCTCACTCCGCTTCCAAGTCCTAACCAGCGCCCTGTTACGGCCTTAGCCCAGTAAAACCTTCCAGGACACCAAGGACAACTGAAGGAGAGGCCCTCTTGATGACATTAGCTCAGCCTCACCCTGTTGCATAAGCCTTTGAAGGTCCCTGGCTACAGAATCCACCCACCCCAGGTCATGACTGTGTAATCCCCCCGCCCCCTCACCAACAGGGCAGGATTCAGCAGGGAACCAGGAGCAGAGGGCACCTCTAGCTTTTGAAAAACCTGGGCAGACATGTGTTCAGTTTCAGCAGAAGTCCAACTGTGGGACAAGCACCTAGGTCCGCGGTTCTTAACCTGCCCATCACCTAGAACCTTTAAAAACTACTAATGCCCAGGCCCAGGCCCACCTAGAATAATTAAGTCAGAAGTTCCGGTCTCTGTATTTTGTGAAAACTCCCCAGGGAATTCTAGTGTGCAGTTGGAATTTGTAACTACTGCCCTGGCTCATTGCAAAATTCCCCTCACCAGATAGTCAACCTCGGTCACAGACACCCAACCCCCAGCTGCATCCTCTCTATCATTAGGAGAACATTTAGTCACATTCAAAGAAAGCTGCCTCCCAAATGGGTTAACCAGAAAGAACTCTAATTTCTACTCACTGTAATTCCCCTGTATCATTAACCATGGCAGTTAAGATGGACTAAAAGCAAGGAATCTGGGTAAATGGCTTCACCTAACAACAGCAGCAAGTCAGAGGCAGACCCCTCAAAACCCAAAGAAATAAATAATCATTTCCCTAGAAATAGAGAGGTCTTCTCAAAGAGTCAAAAGGGGAGAGGAAGGGAGAGGGCTCCAAACGGAGTGATCTGGGGCCAGAGCTATGAGAGTAGGCAGGAAAACGCAAATCCCTTGGCTAACCACTCCCTAAGATGGTCGTTCTTCCCTTTAAAACACTGTGTACCATTAATTTTTTCAAGAAGGACAGAGTATTCACCTATTATGGGCTCTCATGAAAAGCAAAGCAAATCAATGCAAACCTAGGCAAGCAAAATGAAACGGGCGTGCTGTCCTAGTTCCCGTCTTGAACAGAAGGAGGTACATTAAACAAAACCACTGAAAACGTAGCGTGGTTAGGAGTTTTCTGAAGTGACTAAGTGGGTATGTCCCTTCTTACTAAACACCTTTCCCCTACAACTCAGCATGGAAGCTGTACAGGGACCAGTCGTGTCGCCATGCTTTAGAGGGAAGGTAAGCAGTGGGGAAGGCAGCAATGGAATGGAGTGCCTCCCTAAGCCCTAGCATTCCCCAGAGGCAGAGGGGCTGCCAAGAGGGGGAGGACAGGGAACAAGGGGGCGAGGATCTGGGCTCTGCCATAGCCCACCATTCCAGCCAGAGTAGCCCAGCTCTTATCAGTCTTATCTGCCAGGCGGGGAGTCCCATGTAAGACTTCACAAGAGCAAAGGGTGGCCCCAGGACAACACTGTTAAAGCTGTCAAGAGTAGAGGGAGCAACAGGGTAGCGGTTTTGGTCCAGACTCATTCAGTTGCTTATTGGGCAGCCAGCACAGGCAGCTTCCATGTATGCTGGGGACCACAGAAAAATTGACAGGGCCCGATCTGAGCACGCCAGAAGTCTTCGCCCAGCTCACTCAGCTGGGCGAACAGAACAAAGGTGTCCTTGGACACATGTGTGTCACGCAGGCTCTTATCTAGCCACGGGGAACCCTGAGCCCATGGGATGCTGACCACTGAAAGCCTGTCCCTCACATCCAAAGGCAAGGAAGGCCTCGCTGGAGCCCAGCATCTCCAGTGCCCCATCACCACTCCCGGCTCAAGCAGTCACTCCGGGCAACAGGACCGACAGGAAGTTCCCAAGAGTCTGAACATGCCACTCTACGGAAAGTGAGAGAGGCTCTGGGAGCATCGGGTACGGAGGCTCTCTAAGCTCTGTGCACAACCCACAGGCAGAGTCAGAACTGGAACAGGAAGGATGCAGACGAAGGCCCACCTCCTGCGAGGGCTGGGGTGATTTCCAAAGCTGTAACCGCCAGCTCTCAGGGCCAGGAGCCAGGCAAGAACCCCTGGGTAGATGAGGATAAGTGCCACAATGTCCATGAACTAAGGCCTAGGCACCCAAACATGGGTGTCCCTGCTTCTGGAAGGGCCTAGCAGACCCGAAACCCCACCGGGCCATGAGGCTGGCTGGTCGAGCCCAACCCAACAGCCTCCCTCATGAGAAAGGCATTTAGTAAAGCATATGTGCTGGGCCTTGGGGAAGGGCTGTGCTGTTTCCCAGGATGCTTCAGCTTTTCCACTCTCTTCCTCCATCCTGCTCAGCGTCAGGTACCAGGTGATCAGCCCAAAATGTCCCAAGGAGGGAACAGATTCTTCCAGTCCAGTCATTCGTGGTCGAGATCTGCACAGTGATACCTGAGCAGGCCCAGTCCCACGGTGTCTGCTTGCAGAAGGCACTCGTGTCCTCAGGCGAAACGTGTGACCTCGCCCATGTGGGGCCTGGGGAGACGCGAGGAGGAGCAGACAGACAGAGCCCACGCCGACAGCCCATCGGATAACGTGGCTTTCTAATCGCCAGGCCACGGGCCGATTTTGTGGCGACAACTTCGGTCCTGGACTTTGAAACTTGAGTCTGATGTGGTCGGGCTTTTCAGTAAACACTTTCTAACCCGAGTCAAATGAATGATGCGAAGGGAATAATCAAAGTATCAATTACAGACACATTCATATTACAGTGTGTGTGTGTTCACACATGTGTACTCACCAGAAGCAGGGAGCAAACCCAAATGCCACATCGATGAAAAAATGACAAGCAGTGGATGTACCACAGCGACACTCGGAGCCACGTCTCCTCAGGAAAGCCCAGCCAGCAGGGCCGTGGGAAGCCACCTCGCCTTTACCTCAGCCTCCTGCCTCCAGGCAGGCTCTCTAGCTGGGACAAGCCCAAGGGGTTTTGGGGAATGACCGCTGAGTCCGTCATGGTGCTTGGGCTGCTTCTCCACAGATCTGACCCTGTGACTCAGGGAGCAAACTCTGTCACAGGAGGACCCGCCCGCGAGCTGCTGTCTCCACCTCCTGCCGAAAGAACAGTCAGGCAAGGGGGCTGTCCCCATTCACGACCTCAGGCCAGTGCTTGGGCTCTGGCCTTTCCCATCCTGCTTCTCTCCCCCAACTGCTGTGACAGCAGACTGGCTGACCAGTGACTCGGGGGGCTGCTGAAGAGACAGCTGCTTCCATCGAAATGAACACAATTAACATTAGACATGTAAACCCTCTTCCCACCCCAGGATGCTCAGTCCTCTGGCATCACACTCAGATGAAGCAGGAAACCAAGTCCCGTTGGCGTATCCATTCATTCATTCATTTAACTGCAGGCATTAACGGAGTGCCTCAGGAGTGAGCCCTGCCGGGTGGGCGGGGAATACTAAAACAAAAGAGACAGAGGGGCCTTGATCAAGCTCTAACACAGGATGAATGTCATAAGGGCCACGGGATAGAAACCCAGTGTTTGCCAAAGTGCAAAGAAGAGGCCATAGATGACAGTGAGGGGGCTGAGCAGGGCCTTTGGGACGGAGGTGGCACCTAAGCTGGGCCTCGAAGGGTAACGGAGATTCCCGGAGGCAGAGAAAAGAAGGGAAGGGCATCCCTGGCTGAGGAACCACGTGAGTCTGGGCAGCGGGATTGGGCCACACTTGGGCTGCATTCTCCGAGCAAGAGAGAGCTGCTGAGGGCTCCGGAGGAGGGAGG